TGGAAAAGGCTTAAAACACGGTAACGGCGGCAGCAAGCAGGCCTTGCGGTTCGGTTTATTACGGATACAAACCGAGGTGGAAAGCACGGTGTTCACTGCTGAAGTGGAGTGAGAGCAGTTCTCGTTTTCATCTTGGCTTCTACTTTTCCCCGAAAGTTCCAGCAGTAATGTAAACAACTTCTTTCCTTCCAAAGACACCAAGAACAATGGCAGAAGAATTTCTGGTATTACAGATCCCTTGCAAAAAAGTCTGTTTGCTCCAAAAAAGTTTATTTTTATATATCTCTATTTTAAGTAAAATATCTTTTTACCAAAATACGATATACATGCACATGGCTGTAAAATAACTTTAAACCAATTCACTATAAAATTACTTTTGGTAATAAATAATCTGATTCTCAGGGAGGCAAAACACTCCTTTTACCTCCGCAGATGTACTGTCTGAGGCACAGTTCCTCTGCATTTCCAGAACGCTCCCTGGCTCTCCCACCTGCATTCCCCTTGTCCTTCCAGGGCAGAAGCAACTTGTGCTTTTTCGCCTGCATGAGGCAGAATCCTGCTCCTAACAAGTCACTTACAACTGAGAAGCAATAATAAACACGTGCCAAAAGAAATCTGCAGAGTCAGTGGGGCAGATACAACAGGCTTTTATTCTTGAAGGAACAGCTGCTGTTACTAGGTCTGGTACAAGCTGCACTGCTCAGGGGACTCCTTTGGGCCAGCCAGTTGCACTGAAGTCTGCTCTCAATGTGAATGAAACCCAGATCTTTAAGAGCAAAACATCTATGTGTGCAGCTGGCACATTAATAAATAAATAGGAATTCAGAGACATTCCTTAATCCCCCAAAAGATCGGTAAAATTCAGAAATCTTGAACTAAATCTCCTGGGTCTTGGCAGAGTAATGGGGGGGAGGGCAGGGGAAGTGGCTTACTTTCACTCCTAAATATAAAGCAGATCCATGTGTCTGATGTGTTCCTCCCCTGCTCTATTTGTGGACACCAGATTGTCAAAGCACTTGCAATACATTTGGTCACAAAAACAGTATTGCTCTGCAAGTCAAAGAAATTAAAAATGTAAGAGAGCTACATCAGGAATGCATAATCTCTCTACTCCGTCCTCTGCACCGGTATCCCTCACACAGAGGCTGAGGGCAGTTAGTCTAATGTTACTGAGTTGCACAGAGCAGCTTTCAGCTCTGTATATTAGATTTTTTTCCCCTTGTTTATAAGATTACTCTTGCTGTTACTGCCTGCAGAGCTCCCTCAGCCCCAGGAGCAGCAGCAGCCACCACAGATCAGCTATTGACACTATGCAGCCACTCGACATGGAACAGGCAGGACTAAATGACGGCTCTGCCACTGCTATCACTGGTAATCTGTAGTAAAAACAGTTACTGAAGAATCTAACATAGATAAAGCTTTTACAAAAGAAGCCTCAAGGTAAAAAAAATTGTTCAGACAGATTCCAAGCTATTTTAGCTTTCAGGAAAAAGCAGACTTGAAGCACAGCATGGAGTTACAGCACAAGGAAGGCAGGGGAGAAGCTTCACAACAGCATGCCAGGGATGGATTTTGGAGCGGCACTTTCATCCCGTGCTTAGAGGGGAAGCCTGACCACAGCTACTGAAGTTGCAGCTTTTGAAGATGATTATTTGCAGCCTAATTTCCTGTCCCCCCTATCTATTTCCTGTGATCCTTAAAAGACATCTCTGCACATCTCCCTGGGGAAGTCTTGAGGGGTTTAGTAAGTCATGACTTGTTGGATGTTATTTTCATGAACTACACAAACCAACTGTCCTGAGACTTCTCAGGAGAGCACTCCAGGGAGCAAGTCCAGTTTGCACAGCTCATAGAAGACGGTGCTCCATTGAGTTGCGCATGAAGCAAAATGACACATCACATCCCAAGAGTAATTAAAAACCAGAGCATTAAAGACTCTTAGCCCTGTATTCCCCTCTCACTGTTACTTTGAGAAGTCAAAGTGGAAAAAACAAAAGGCAACAAGCAGTAACTTTGGCTCGATGTTCTAAAGTTTGAACTGGAGTACAAATAGAGGTGCTGACTGTGGGAGCAGGATTTATTTGAACATACCCTAGGCAGTAAGTAGGGAGCTAGGCAGAAGTAGTCCAGTAAGGACATTCTCCTCTCCTCTTTAATTCAGTATTGCCTGGAGGTGGCAAGTCTTCTCCGCTAACATAAGCAATAAAGATAAATGGAGAAAGGGAGAGCAAGACAACAGGGAAGGCATTAGGCCTGAGAAGAAAAAGGTTTGTTGTCACTTAAAAATATTCAGTCTTTGTTTCGCTTCCACAGTGAGGACTGCTAGATACATAAACCAAATTTTTCTTCAGTACATACAAGCATACATCAAGAAGGTACCTACGACCATAGCACACAGCACACAGCAGCACAAGTTTAGAATGACTTAGCAAGTTCAAACAAGACAAGCTTTTACTTGGAGGGAAAAATACCAATATTTTCATCTTGAATGCAGTTTCTTTGGGTGGGAAGGGACAGTCATCCTATCTACAGCTAGAGCAGACACAGGGTATCAGCCTTTTGCTTACAAAATAAAATTCTGTACTCCTACCAACAACAGGAGTGAAACCTTTATCTTTGAATATCCCTACCAGCAGCATACCTTCTGAACCAAAGATGAATAGGCAAGAAGAGAATGAAGGACCCCAAGAATTAATTTTTGACTTGGACAGTCATCACGGATAAGTTCAACTTTTGAACTAATTTTCAAGACCTTATTATTCTCCTCCTACATTCTGGCTTCTTCAGGTTTTTTGTTTTGTTTTTAAAAAGTGCATTCACCTCTGATTAGATCTACCTTGGCAACAAGCAAACAGAGCCCCTTCTTAGAGCTGCAAGGTGGATTAGAAGCCTCTCAAATCACAAGCAAGGACACCTTGCTTCAGCCCAGCTAAAATGAAGCCTGGGTCCGCCCAGGCTTTCCCAGTCAGTTAACAAGCAACATCCCACAGAGGCTCACCAGCCCACACTAATGGAGCCATCATCACTCCTATGCTTAGAAACAGCATACTCTTTTCCAGATGCACGAAACCAAAATGAGACTAGCTTCATTAAAGCAAAAGCTAAAGCAAAGCAAAAGCATTTGTCTGGAAGGCAGTGGAGCTGGGGAAAACTAAGTTCCCCTTTTCCATGCAAGTTGAACACTGCTGGTGGAAGAACAGCAGGCAGGGCAACAGGGTAACCTGTCTCTTACTTGCTGCTGCATTAAAGGCTTTCAGTATCTTTAGCTTCTACGTACAATCCCATGTTTTAATAACTGGGGACCTCCTACCAGAAGGAAAGGCAGATCGTCAGCTTCACAGTTAAGAATACACGAATTTATCACCATAATACATACAGGATTATTCATTCCACTAGCTAACTAAGGCCTCCTGTACCTGAAATCAGTTATTAATTACTTCAAGGTCCAAGTCTAAGTCCCTGGAAAGAGCAAATTACAATGGCAGAAGAGTTATAACCTTTACTACAAGTACAAATGATCTGCAACACCTTGTGGAATGCAAAACGGCGTCTGTGTGTATATATAAATTTTGTATATAGACATTGTACTGTTTCATTCTTTTTAATACATATACAAGTACCTATACATATATACATATTTACAATTTACACCAGCCAGTAGATGTATCCATATTGTACATATACACACAAACGCCTAGAATACACATGCACACACACAAACACACACACTGCACATCCCAGGTAACGAAGTCCTGCCATAGTCCAAAGAAGAGCAGCACCAAGTGGTGGGGGGCTCAATACACCAGCTTCAAGACTGCTTAGAACAAACACTAGCATTCATAGAATTTTTTACACTTGGGAAATTAAAGAATGGATGGCATAAGCTTCAGCACAGCTACAAAGAACCTTCATGCAAACTTCCCAGCTACACTCCTGCAATTATTGCTGTTCCACACCCAGCTCTCCTCAGCTGAATGGGGTCCGTCAGTGCTGATTTGCTGCCCTTTGCTATCCAGCTGACTAGAGCATGCCTTGTATGACAGCACTGCAAACAGGCCTACCTTAACACTATGGCAGTCACTAAGTTCTGCATTCACCTAAAAATAGGGCATAGCTGGGTTTCAACATAAAAGCACTGATCAGACTTGTCCTTTCACTTGTTTTCTAGCAGCACATGGAACAGTGAAAACAGACTTTTTCATTTAATGGTCTAAAATATTTTCAGTTCCTTCTCCTTGCTCACACCTTCACTGTCAGGAGCTGCAAGAGGTCCTCCAGCTCTGCAAGGAAGGCAGTACAGTCCAAATGACTCAGTAAGCACTCTTCCCAGGACTCAGAATATCCCTTTCCAGCAAGTGCCTTTACACAGGCCACTGTCCTCCTTAGCATACCCAGACAGAGCATTATGGGCTGAGGGTGCATTATAGGCTGAGGGAGCCTATAGTGCTGCTAAACATAACTGCAGCCCCTTAGTTTTACTGGTTCAAAGATAGGACTGAGATGCAATGGTGCGCACACAAAACATTAACAGTGCTTTACGGCAGCACCCACTTAGTTTAACCTGCAAGAGGAGCACCAGCATCCCTCCTAGAGCACAGGGATCCAGCACAGATGGATCAGATAAATGATAGGAAGGGCTTGCATTCAGCACTATACGGGACACTTTCAGCTCCTATCAGGGACTGGTAACACTGTGGGAGTCACACATTCCATCCACACACAGAAAGCAGGGATAACACCTGCTGGAAACGTAGTAATTTCTATCTAGTACCTCCAAATTAAGAATGCCCTCTCCTCCTGGAAAATTGTGGCAGCAATACAAATGGCAAGATGACCCATATTACAGTGAGAGATGGGGGCTAGCTTTCTTAGTTTTGTAATTTGTTAATCTGCTAACCATCTACTTAATCAGGCAGTGGAAATTGTATCCTTGGCCAGCAGTACAAAGTTCATATATAAAATTGCTGTGTCAAATTTATAGGGATCGTTAAGTATCTTTACAACTTCACTTCAAGCCCACTGCTCCAAATGCAACTTAATTGTCCACAGTTTTGTCTACTTACTTGCCTAAGACTGAAAAAATATATTTGTTATGAAGGACTCCGTTTTATTGCTATTGTTGGTTTGCACTATGTGGTTCCATCTTTACCATTTCAAATCCACTCTTTGGGGATAAAATATTGTTTTTTTTCTATTAATTTTTTCCAATTTCTTAAAATTGTATAAAAATAAAGGATTTCCACAAACGTTCAGTAAGGGTAACCAATAATACTTCTATGCTTAGGATCAGCTGTTGGAAATGTGGTTGATAGCCACAAGACCAGAAATAAACCTCTAGTGATTCATTAGTTTAACATTTAAAAGACATGAAAACTTCTGCTTATAAAATTGACCCCATACAGAATGGAACAGCTAAACTAACAGCTGTTTATCATTACTTTTTAAAATAATGGTCCTAAATTTAAAAATAAAATCAAGTACTCCCTTTTATGATTTTCACATTATAAAACTGCACCATTCAAAATCTGTGGCCAGGGAAACCCCTTTGCAGTAAGACAGTTTCTTTTAATAGTCATCGAGGGTGTTTTCCAGGAAAACATTCCTAACATCCAGTATGGAAGCCAGCTCCAAAATGTGCTTTTGGAGGTGAGGGTTCTCCACCGTTTCATCTCTTGGCAGCTGAGGATAAGATTCTGGATAATTCCGAGTCTCCTGCTAGATGACAATGAAAAACAAAGAGAATCAGACATTCATTTATTTTTACAGTTTTTACAAAGGAGATTGCAAAAGGCCAATTTTACCTAAAAGGTATCCTAATTGGTTTAGCATACCACAGAGAAAATATTCTAGCATTTTCAATTTTGTCTTTTCATTGACTCAAGAGATGGTCACAGTGGCAATACAAATGCCCATTCATCTAGGATGGTTAATAATATATTCACAGAAGCCTTGCAGAAAGAAAAAAAAAAAAAAAAAAAAAAGAAAAAAAAGACCAAAAAGACTTCGCATATACTCACCTACTAGGCTGGAGTTCATTTCTTGAAATTATAGACATGTAAGCATCTCCAGTGGGAGATTCATCTCATCCTAAAACAAATACCTAAGACACTGGGGGCAAATCTATCCCCACTAACAGAAGACCTGCTGCTTTTCCCTGATATTGAAGAAGCCCAGGTAACTAACTTAGGCTTGGAAAGCTACTAGATGTCTGCAGTTAGACAAGATGAATACTGTACCTTTCTGTGCTTTGACTTGCTTTTTTCAGTAATGTTTTTTTAAAAATGGAGCAGGCAGTTTATATGCCAACACTCTCATATATAAAGTGGTGTAGATCCAGAAGCAGACTTCACTGTTGGCACAGCATAAACCAACAGGGAGGGAAAACACCATCTTCCTGTTCAGTTTATTCATTTACAATTCAAAGACCTTTCAAAATTCATTCACACTAGAATACATTCCAGCAATAACGTTCCACTCCTCCCCACTTCCTCTTGTATTCTTGTTATATACCTTTTTAGTTGTGTAGAAATAATAATCTTGAATTAAGAGGAATTCTTCTAGCAGATAAGGCTGTTCAGAGTGAAATAAATGAATTGGAGTGTGTCTGCTACTTATATAGAAGAATAAGGCTTCATGCCTTTGGAGGGATACAAAGGCAAAGATTCAATACAAGCTGTAGGCATTAGCACACAAGCATCAGTTGTCTTTCTGAAGTCGCAGTGATATGCTTAGCCCTAAGACCCTTCCATCCTGAAGCACTGCAGTTCTATATGCACTGGATTGTTGTTCTCACAAAGGGATATATATCCCTGCATACCCGGAAAATTTTGTGCATCCTCATAGTAGCTGAACAGAAGATAAATCTTGTTAGAAGCAAGCGAAGAAATTCATCCCCAAAAAATTGAAGAAAGGACTGATCTGTAGAGAAGGCAAAGAAAAAATTCAATTTAGAAAGGCTTTAAAAAAAAGAAAAAAAAAGAAAAAGAGGGGAAAAAAAAGGCGACTTGCAGAGACCACTACAAATACTTATGCACTCCTCTTATTCACTATCCCATCCCTTGCAAAGGCTGAGCAAGGAAAAAAACAGCATCTGCTTAAGTAGCACGCTACGGTTCAGCTGTGCATCTTTAAGCATGTACCTATGGATCGGGAGTGGGTCAGCAGCTGGGCAATATCTCGGTTGATTTTTCTAAGGTAATCTTGACACTTCTCCCACAATCCTCTGCGCATGCTTGATAATCCAGAGACAAATAGGAATGCCATTAAAGGATTGTTCAGAAAGAGCGTGAAGAGGCTACCCCGCTGAGACTGATCTAAAAAAAAAAAAATAATAAAAAAAAATCAATAGACAAAGAGATACATTTGGCACATGAAACAGAAAAGCTGTCCCTGCCACAGAATGAAGTCGCTCACCCACTAAATTCTGTAACAGAGGAACTACTCCTTTGTGTTAGTTATATCTTCTCTCCTCTTGTGGCAGATCTGTTCTCAAGATGATGCAGTTACTAGCAGTAAAGGCTTAGTAGAGATGTGCATTAACACCAAAAGAAACAAGATTTTCTCATGAACTGTGGGAGGCCTACGTCTTTATTTTGAGCACATAACTTTAACACAAAAGTCATAACTGAAACAGCCAATAGAAGATACTGATTGTAAATCCTAAAGAGAAGTATTAAACGTGGGCATTCTTATTACATTCAAAAAAACAGGCAGTTGAACCTATACACCCCCCAAAAGTCTACATAGTTGGCTTTTTTGGGCATTACAATATCCTAAAGCCCATTTACCATGCAGTTCAACATGATACACAGAGGTCCAAGCTTCATCTCAGTCAACTGGGAATTAAATAAGAAAGGTGATGCACATAAGATCATGTGCCCGAACAGTAAGGCCACTTCGTCATCAGCAAGGATTACTGACTTGTTTTGGTGCAGTTTGGGGTTTTTTTCTGGGCTCGTGCACACAGCCTGCATGGTATAATGACACAGGGGCTCAGTTAGGTTCAGTTAAGAACTCTCTGCACAGTGCTGTAGTGCACAGTGTAGCACCCCCTCAGAACTACAGCAAGACTTTCCTGGCTGGTCCATGAACAGAATATAAACATCCAGGATTTTACAAAGTTAGCTCTATTTTTCAGAGTTTCTGTTTAAACAGGATTCATTATTACAGTACTTATTTTCTACTTAAGTTTCAGCTAAATAACAGGAATAATTTCAAAACAAATGAGAAGCTTCCACTTCTTGTGCATTCTCTCATGATGCTTGCCTAACGTCTCTCTATGTAGCTTAAGCTAGACCTTTGTAAAATGTCTTTGTGATAGATAATAAGCTTAACATCGCTTAATAATATTAATTATGTTTTATAGTAGTCACAAGGACTGAAGAATATGTTTTGTTGCCTGCTCCTACTATAAATGCACCTTCTCAGGGCATACAAAGCCAATGGTTTTCCTTAACTTAGCCTCCAAACTCAGAACAAGATCTGAGAAGATTTTGCTCTACACCTGGCATTTAAAAGCTCACTTTCTGGGACTAATAAAGCTACCCAAAGTGCTAATCATCGTCAGCATCCCAGCACTGCGCTGGCATTCTGAGTCTCCATGGAGGAGAGACTTTGCCTTGTGGCACTTGTTGAAGCTATCTGTAGAAATATCATTGTTAGAATAAATTATTTGCCATAAACAGTAACTAAACTTTATCATACTCCTGCAGGGAACGTTAATCTGATTTAAGGATTACATAGTGATGAAAGATTCTTCAGGAAAAGACAGCCTAAGTTATATTTGTTTGGCATAGATATATCATGCAACTGCAACTTGTTAGGAAATGCATTACTACACGTACCTTGTAGTGCTTTTGGATATGCTGTTGGAGAAAGCAAGCACACCAATGGTTGTCCAAATAAGTTTGTGAAATTCTGTAACAGATAAGAATTTTGAAGTATTGATGGTCACTTTGCTTGCTTTTGAATATTCAGCAGGTTAAGGGTACAAACAACGACTATTAATGACAGAGAACACACTAATGCCCCTCACACAGTTCAGCATTGGCAGTAAGGCTGACAAGTTGACTTACTTATAGATCACAGCAGAGGGACTATAACCGATCACATTTTAAAGGAATTGTAATTCTCTTATTTCACTGCTACTGATAGCAGACACTAATTTCATGGAAGTATGGCTTTCAGTAGTAATACATTACTTGAAAAAAATCACGTTCTGAAATAAAAAGGAAGCCATTGGCTTTCAGGTCAAAACAGATCTAGCATCTTTCCTCAATACCAACTGAACTACCCAAAGTGATTTATTTCCCCTTTTCTTTCTAGCAGGAGGAACTATTTCTGATGAAACAGAAGAGCCCAGGGGAGAAAAGTTCTAAAATAAGTTTCTTTTAAAGCAAGTATGTCATAACCTTAACATCTGCTATACTGAATCCTCATTTTACAGTACTCATTTCGTGCACCTTCCACCAGCACCTTAAATATTGCCTAAGTGTCCTGTTGCACAAGAATTTCTTCAGAAACCTCAAATGATGCCTTTGTCCAGTTTCACCAACATTTACCTGGTAACAGTCCTACTGTGTATCTATCTGGTAGGTATACTGACTGGTAATAATTATCATTAAAAAAAAAATTTGATTTTGTTTACACAGCCTCATTAGTTGTCATATGTGTCACCAAAACAGCTTTCTTGAAACTGAAGGCTTGCAAAGCTGCAGAAAATTTAAATGATCATGTCTGCATCCTATCAGAGCACACATTCAAACCATGCACCCAGAGCACGTGAGTGCAACACCTATCTCTGCAGATTATATTCTTAAGATTGGCAGCTACAAATGTAAGGTATACATCACCAGAAGTATGTGCTTGTGTAGAATCATCAAAAAAAGCTCATTTTTTAGTTCCTTCTGGCTTCTGCTCAATTCAAATGGCACTTCCCCTTCCGGGCAGTATATTTCAATTAAATTATTTTCACCGTATTAATTTAATCTAGGTCCGATAAATACCAAAGACAGTAATCTAGTCTAATCAAAATAAGATATGTCCCATATCTAACAGAGTGCTGACTAGTCCTGAAAATCCTTCTATTTCGTTAAGAGCCCAAGGGAGATTTATAATGCTAGATACTAAGGTTTGGCCTCTAATGAAGAAACAAAGACTGTTACCATGAAGACGGCACCTGCAGGCCAACCCAGTAATCAGTAAAACTGTACTATAAAGAAATATTTAACACTCCAGAAGGAGTCACCCCAGACATTGCCAGTTTGAACTGAATACACACCAGCAGGTTACATGTTCTCAAGTAACATGTATGCTTAGTATTCACAAGCAGATTCGCATGTTGAATTCTATCTTGTATCACCCAGTTAGAGACCAGAGCAGACTTTCCACACGCTCCATCAGTAAAAATGACAATGCAATTAAACACTGCCTACAGCTATAAAGCAAAACCAAGGGTCACTCACAGATCTCAGGAAAGGTATTACTCACTGACAGTATCTGAGATCATTTTGGACTCTGTCCCAGCAAAGGCTAAGTCAACATAGCTAGTAAGTCCTGCAAAGGGGAGAAACTACACGGTTTAACACGGAATGTGCTCTCTGGAAGACAGCTGCTCGTGCCAGTCGCTACATGTGAACTGCAGGTCCAGGAAAATAAGACTCTCAAGCTGCCAGGTACCTGTCTCAGCTCTTGCCCAGACACAACTGCCTACCATAGCCCAAGGATTCACTCACCACCACCACCTCCACTCCCAATTTCCACAGAAAAGTGCTGTGTGAGCACATGCAACAAAGGAACAGGAGCATGTTACAGCCATGGCTTGGAGCGGAGGACCACGAAGTGCACCAGAAAAGCTTACCCTGCGGTGGGGATGTTGGTAGCAGCTCTGGATAAGGAAGGCCCTACCTTTCAGTGCCTGGACAACTCCAAAAAGGGTAAAACGCATTTTTGTTTCAAAACGGATTCTTTTTTTTACTTCAGTATTCAAGTTTTCAAACAGAAGCATTGCTGCTTTTTAAAGTGCATCCCATATACATCTCTTTTCAAAAAAGAGCTACTCATCATCTCCAAAAGAAGTCACTTCACATACAAGCTTTACTAAGCTGAGTATTTACTGACAGAGTCCTTTCATTCTTACTGGCCAGAGTTTTTGTTTTGGTTTGGTTTTTTTTAAGACTTTGTATTTGATCGTAATCTTAGACAACCACAGCTACAACAAGATACTGATTTTAAAGTATTATTTCATCCACATACACAGTGGTAACCTTCAAGAACCAGCCATCTATATTTAAATGGAAGTGTTAAAAAAAAAATCATGGCTTTAAGTAGATATGCTTGATTTGCAGTTATCTTCCACTTTCAGCTAAATATATAGGGGAGGAAGCTGTTCAAGTGCCGCTGATTTGACAAACTGGCAAGTCACTTCCTGGCAGGACTTACTTTCAGTCATCACCATTTAAGCCCTCCAGAGAGACGGAGAGGATGAGAATGCATGCAGGAAAGCAGAAATGGCTTGTAGAAAAAGATATATGAGCAGTTGCTGTTACTGCCAGTATTGCTAGCAGTGACATTTAAATGTCAGGATAGCTACTGTCCTATCAGAAAAGATCAGAGCAGCCATGTGGAAAAGAGTCAGTATGCTGACTTCCAACTTCTCATACGGTTGCACAGAACCTCTTTGTTTGTGCCAGTGCTTGAGTCTACAAAGCGTCTCACAACACACCCAGAGGATAGTCACAGGACAGCACTATCAGTATATTCTGGTGACAAGGAACCAAGCACATAAGCACGCACAGAGTGACGACAGACAGGAATTTACAAGGGTAGAAAATACTGAGATTGAAAACTCAGCCATCTACCTTCAGTTGAAAACAAACACCTAAACTCATCCCCACACATGTAACTGCCTAGGTTCAATGGCAATAGATTGTGAAGGTGAATGTGTGTTTTCAAATGCTGTTTTTTAAAATAGAGGTCCATGCTCCTCCTCTTTCTTCATTCTCTTTTTAGAGTCCTCACAGTTGTGCCCACCCGATTCTGATCTGGGTCAGAGCTCCTAGCAGCTACGTCCATAATCTGGTCCCAAAACATTTCCAAAACTCACATTTCTATGCTCCTTACATACAGGTATAATTAGACTTCTCTTACACCAACTGCTCTGTGTGCTTAACAGGTGGAGCACTGGTGTATTTTACCCTACTGATGGTCAGCTCACTGCAGAACAAGGAAAAGAAACTAAATGGAAGTTACAGTTTTTGCTTACTGTGTGCCCACAGAATTTAAAGAAAATTCAATTATCCAATTTAAATGTAATACAAAAAGCAAATTCTACTGTAAACACTTGACAGTTATTCTCAAAAGAGCTACAAATCTACATATGGCAATCTATCACCTCAAAAAGATCCTTTGCTCCAAGCTGTCCACAGAACGCTGGTATGTCTAGAGCTGCATTTGAATTATCACCAGGAATCCCTTAGTCTCTCTTACAGAGCTGATCCACTTGACATCTTTCAGCAATTCTACTAGAGAGGAAGGGGATAAAAAAACCCAAAACAAAAACAAAACCCAAGCCACCCTTTTTACCCTGAAACAAAATTACGCCCCTGTTATACTGGAATGAATGTCAGGAAAGAGCAGATGAAAATAAATCCCTACAAAATTCTCATTTTCTCAGAAAGACAAGTAAACCATTCTAATTGTATTTCCCTCCCTTTGAACGGAGAAGGGAATTTAATAAAAAGCAGATTTGCACTGAAATCTAGTGTGATGAAGTTAAATGCAATAGTATTAAAAAAGCCCTTTGAAATGCATTACTACAAAACAAAAACCCTATGAAGAGGCCAGATCATTATTAAGACTGCCAGGTAAAAGTTCTGTTGCTCAATACAGAACTATTCTGAATCATACTGATCACTGAATTAGCACTTCTCGTTGGCCGACAAACACCTTAAAACAAATGACATAGACTGTGGATACTGAAGAAGGAACAAGTTCATTTGGCCACTAGACGTCCCTATTCCTCCTCTGAAATGCAGCTGTGAATGCTCACTTTTCTCACTGCAAATAATGGAGCTATAAAAAGGAAGACATAAGGAAGTGGCACTTTCCCCAGATAGAGCACATTCTTAATATCCCATTTGTGAATTAAATAAATGTCTTAATGCTATCCAGATGCAATTGGCAACTGAGATTGAAAATCCCTGCTTCTGTATTACCCAAATTGCAGGTTTCCAAAGGTGATTTGGCATGGAGTAATTCTACTGTAAGTCCATAGCACCCTAGGAAGGAGGGTCATTGTCCAAGCATATATCACTCTACAGTAACACTGGATGCTAATTTGAGTCTTGTTATTTCCTTGGTTCAGATACTTTTCAGACATAGACACCCCGTGTTTTATAAGATCAGGCTCAATGCTTTGAATCCTTTCTGTTGCTTAAAAGCAACTGAGTGTTGGATGACTGGAAAAAAAAAAAGTAGATTAGTTATCTCCCTCCCCCATGCACACACACCAAGATTTGTGTTTGGTATATAACAAAAATAAACCTCCCACCAGAGACCTTGGAAATCTTGAACCTTTTTTCCCTCCAGGAGGATTTATTACTTTCCAATGAGCGGCTGTTCATGTGCTTCTCCTTCTTGTTCCTATTCATAGGATCAGATCCTGACTAGCATGCACAACCTCAAAAGAAAAGAAACACTGAATACAAACTGTTTAAAAAATAGCCTGTTAAAAGTGTAAGCTAACTAGGGGTTGACACTGTATCCTGTCATATCAGTAGCTGCCTTCAAGAGTCTTACCTTATAGGCGACACTGTTTGAGGAATCCACAATGATAAACAGGGGCTTTCTTGTGAAAGGGTAGAGATCTCCAGGGTGAAGACTGAAAAGAGAAAGGGATGCTTCACAGTGTACTAGAATTGCTGCAAAGCTGTGACAGTGCACAAGTTTCTCAGACCCCAGCTGCCCACATGCATATAAAAAGCAAGCAAATTCCCCAAGTCCCAGTCATGAGATTGATCCTCAGAAAGTAACTACAAAACTAATCTGGTATTCTCTATAACATGGGCTATTGGACTTCTTATTAGTTCTTTCCCAGAGACGTTTATCTTCTTGAGAAGTCATCCACCATTAATTTGAAGTTTTCCAGTAATAAAGAATTTACATTGTCACAGTAATACTTTCTGAGTGTTTGAATCATCATTTAGAGTTGCATATGCATTTCTAATTGTTCAACTTCAAGCCAATCTACGTTATGATGTCCTGCACTGAAGAGTTTGAATTCAAGAGGCTTTGATGCATTTTTCTCTATTAAAGATAAATTCTTCTGAATGTGCAGTTGTCACAGATTAAACTTACCAGTGCATCTCCTTGTATGATTGGTTTCGCTTGTGGATAGCATCCCCGTTTATAATGTCCCGGTTGCTATTCGTCAGAACGCCACCAAAATCATATGGACCTACACATGGCAAAAAGAAAGTTAAAATTAGGAAACTCACCTCTGTTATGGATTTAATGATTGTATGAAAGGGAAGAAGCAACCATAAATCCCAGAAAACTAAGTGAATCTGAATTACTGCAGTTGTAAGGAGGGGATGGAGGAACGTGGAAACTTTACTAACTACATATTCAATTTTACACATTTTTAGTAGTTTCAGCATCTATCAAAGTAGAAGCAAGCAATGCAACTTTGTAACTTCTAATTTATTAATTCGCTATTTAGCCACAAACTTAATACAAAAGATGCCAGTGTTGGCTTTTGTTACACTACATAGCAAAAAGATTAAAACCCATTACACATTTCATACAGGCAAATCAATACCTTTGCAAAATCACTATATGAGCTAGCATATTCTAGATTCAGAATTTGATCAAAAAATAAGGCTATAATCAATAAAAAACCATGTAGCCTCTCAGAAGATGTAATACTATCATCTGCAGTTGTAACACTGCAAAGGGGAAATGAGAGATCAGAGAATGAATATGCTTTCGATACTCCTAGAAAGGATGGAATAGTTTTAACCGGATTTCAAATCTACAGCAAAGGTTTATTTTTTAAAATTTCAAATACAGAATTCACAATTTTTAAATGCACACAACCTGGACATGTGTTCCTAAGGTAAGCTAAAGAAATATTCTGCTAAGTTTGCACAACTGAGCTACCTGCCTAACTGTCTGATGGAAAGCAAAGATGAAAGTAATGGCTATAAAAAAATATCAAATCCTACATTTAAAAAAAAAAAAAAAAAGCTAGAGATACCAGCAAATATTTTTGCCACTTATATGGGTATGAAATGTCACTAACATTAGTAAAATAAAGCATTAGGATTTCCTCATTCTGTTATACATTTTTATTTGTTAGTTGACCCATATTTGGCCATCAAATGCAATTTTTTCAGATTTGGATACATAAGACACCTTTTCATGTTAAGGGAAACTTTGGGAATACAAAAATAGGAACAGGACATACATTAATTTAGCACTGTTACAAATGTCTTGCATGATCTGTCAAACACAAATGGTTTACAGGCGATAAACAGTGCAACTTGCAGCTGCTCTCCCTTTTAATAAGGTAGAACTTTTTGGTCTGTGCAGACTACACTACCTTATTAAAAGAATGCAGTTGTAATGGGATTCATTTAACGAAAACTGAAGTCTGACTATGCAGCTCTTCAGATGATAGAGCCTGGATGCCTCTACAGTAAGGTATTAAGCTGAAACAATATATGCAGTGAAGTGTACATAACATGGGCTTTAAAGCACACAGTTTAGTTAGAACCTATCACCAAGTTGCAGCAAAAAGTAAAATGTTAAAAGCATTTTAAAAAAATCACTGCCACAATCCAAAGCTGACAGGGATTTTTTTTATTTCCTTTAACATTTTGAGAGCTCTATAAATCATGCATTGGGATGGACAAGGCATGCATCTTATAAAGGAATGCAGGTCTCAAACAGATGAGGCATGTGCAATATTTAGGATGTTAAAAAACTTTTTTTCCTCCCCTTAAATTATATAAACAGATCTTTTGACTTTGTTTACTTCAGCCAACCAGTTTTCAGCTTTTAGATTGCAGCTGCATCCAAATATTCTGCTAGGTTGCAAAGAACAGGAGGATGAAGTGAGGGGAATTGCCAAAAATCATGAGAAGGGCTTGAATTGTCAGGTTAACAAGCGTGCAAACAGAAAAGTCCCTGCAGACGCTTCAGCCCTTTTACCACCCGTCTCCTGACCATATGTTCTCATAGTACTGGAGATTGGAAAGAATCACAAAGTGCCATTTAGCCATTTTATTAACTTTGCATTGATGCATCAACTGAGCCATGTGGTCTTCAAAACCGATGAGGCTTTTAATACTTCAGATGCATCAAAAACTGGATATATCCTTTGAAAAGGTCTCAGGTTAATGCACACTAATTAAAAGACAGGGAATTAGCTATTGTTTGTAGAAAAAAAAGTCTATCTTACTAAGCAGACAGGAGAATAAAATTGACTTGTCTTTTTAAAAGGAGCTTTGTGACATCTTTCTTGGTCACTTGTCCTGGAACATAAAGAGAATTCAAGCCCTGTTCATGACAGGGAGCATTCCTTTATTGTACCTTCACTATCCGAACGACCTGATGGAAACACGCCCGTGGCAGACAAGTAAATCAGTAGTACACTGTTTGCAGGCAGCTCCTGAAATTCAAATAAGAAGAGAAGAGTGTCAAGGAAAGAAATGTGTAAGTTTATTTTAATACTCAATCATGACTTTCATAAATACATTGTCATTTAAGATTGTGCTACTCCTGCTTCTGGCTTCCCTTCACTCTTCGCATGTCTATATGCCCTTCTGATCCTATACACCCCTTCAAATAGGTGGGTACAGAGACAAAAATGTAAAGTGATGATTATGTTCACATTCCCCCCCCCCCCCCCCCCCCCCAATCTTTAGGCTGACGTTAGAGGTTCAAGCAGCACTAAAAAAGCATCTGCTTCCACATAGGCTCTCTTACTATCTAGCTAGATCTGAGGCTTTCCAAGATACGGAAACCAAAAGCTGCCAAGATCCATGCAGACCCTAACTCCCAAACAATTCAGGATCCTAAAGGAAGTTCTTTGTTTCAAAATACCCCAGAGTCTGCAACATCTGCCTCTTCCCCCGACCCTTCTCAGACGGACAACAAGCACAACACATCCAGGTTTCTGTATAGACCTGTAAAAGAAATCTATTTTCCACCTTTCTAATGGGCTGTCTGCATGAGGAAACAGATGCTTTTAATTTCTGCAAAAGGCTGAGCGTGCAGGCACCCAAAATTCTAAGTAAGAAGGATGCATTTCCTTCACCTCACCAGCTGTTTTACGGTTTTTTCTTGAAACAAACTGAAACTTGTTTCTTTGTAGGATTTATATTCTGTTTCTACTACTAAATCCCAAGTTGCTGACTTTTACAGTCATAATTAAGCAAAATGAGCCCAGCAACTTTATTAAATTAAAATAAGCATAGCAACTGTATTTTTTAAAAAAAGTCTACAAATGTATAGATTACATGGAAGAGAGCAGTGGGTAACAAAATAAGGCAGGCAGATAAAAATATAGCAAGTGCAGGAGAGAGACACAGTTCAAAAAATGATTTTTTTTCTTTCCCTTAACAGCAGTCAACAGATTTGTTTTTATTACACAAATGACACATATCTATAATATTTCCATCCTTTTGAAGCTCATATCTAACATTTTAAGAAGGCAAAAAAGGCTTCATTATCTTTAAGTATAAAAAATTATCTCAACCACATTTTATTCAGTGTCACACACCATTCAGGATATTTTTCTATTACAAATGAATTCACCATTTTCACAAACCTTAAATGATGCTGCTAAAAATGTATATAGCTGGCTAAAAGTTGGTTTATAAAGTAGATATTTATGGGGGTTTTCCCGCCTGGCTGGTTTCTCTGTGGACTCCTGTTGAAAAAAAACAAAAAACCAAAACACAACACAAATAAACCAACAACCGTGTATTACCAAAGCAGTTTCGTAACCCTCTATATTTCTACTTATTAGAATGCTCATCTTCAACATACCTACCACACAAATGGTCTGCCCATGCTGCACTTCCTACTAGACAGTAAAGCTAGATGCATAGTATTTGAACCAGAACTTTACATTATCCCTCATTTAAATTTGTCACTAATTTTTCCTACTCTCTAAAGCATCACCCAAGAAAAGAGTGAAAAAATTTACTCTTCTCTCAATTAAATAAACAAAGATCTAGATATTTCCTTTTGCCTCCAGATCAAATATTTTTTATACTTTTTCTGAAGGGGATATTTAACTTTCAGATGACTCAGCAAGCTGATGAACTGCTGTGGTTTAACCTGGCAAGTAGCTAAAACAAGCATGCAGCCATTCACTCACCAACCCACCCCAGTGGGATGGGGGAGAGAATTGGGGAAAAAAAAGGCAGAACTCATGGGCTGAGATAAAGACAGTTTAACAGGACAAAAGAGAATAATAAGAATAATAATAATGATAGAAGAATACACCAAACAAATAATGCACAGTACAGTTGCTCACCACTCGCTGACTGATTAGTCATTAGTTAGTTCCCCAGCAGCGGCCCTCCCCGGCCAACTCCCCCAGTTAATGCACTGAGCATGACATCGCATGGTATGGAATATCCCTTTGGCCAGTTTGGGTGAGCTGTCCTGGCTGTGCCCCCTCCCAGCTTCCCGTGCACCCCCTTGCCTTCTCGTTGGCCGGCCAGCGTGAAAAACTGGACAGTCCTTGACTGCTTAGCAACAACTGAAACTATCAGTATGTTATCAACATTATTGTCATCCCAAATCCAAAACACAGCACTATACCAGCTACTAGGATAAAAATTAACTCTACCCCAGCCAAAACCAGGACATGAACTTATCTGGCTGCATGAGTGCTAGAGTGAAAACAAAGGAAGGGGTGAGTGTATATGAACCTCAGCTAGACCAATGTAAGCCATTTGTGAAATGATACCCAAACACTATTTTTTCACTATTGAAGGTCTGCTAAAGAAAAAAAAAAAAAGGGGGGGTGGGGGGGAGACATTACTTGGACCAAACTCCATAGGTTTGAGCTACTCTGCACTAACTTCTAGTAAAAGTTACACCAGCTTTACTGACCTGCTCTGTGACAATACTGAAAGAGTACACAATTTAAAACAAAGCACACAAAGTTAAGATCTGTTGCCAGGTTTGTCACTGAAATGGAACTTACCTGCATTCCAGGTTTGTTCATTTGTGAAGCTAAATTCATTGGTTCTCTTTCAAGTGCTTGTAGCATTCGGAACATATCAATTGTTAATTCACTGAACTTGACCTGCAAAAGATTCAAACAGTTTACTCTGCCAGATATAGATTAAACAGTATTTCTTTGGAATTATGCAGGTAAGACATTCAACTGCACACCAGACAGACCATTTTCTGTCTCTCAGGGAGCTGTCAGTGTCATCTTTGAATCTCTAAAGACTTGTGAATGACTTTTAGAAGAGCTCACAGAGGACAAAATCCATTTATTACTGGTCTAGCAGGTCAGTTCACTGTAGTGCAGACCCCTACTTCACAAACTACAGACCTTCCTGGGGTGTTTACAAATCAAGTGCTGAAACCACTATGTACTATAAATTTAGACAAAATCTGAACAGGATACACAAACTGTAGTTTAGATACAACTCCCTTGCTTACCTGAAAAAGAGCTCAGAGAGAAGTCATGAAGTCTGTACAACTTCACTATCATCATCATCTAAAAAACAAGATCTTGAATGTCTTTTGAAAACCCCTTCCTGTTGCAACTTCAGCTGCAACAAGCTAGAGTATGTCATGTGAAATCCTAGAGTCAAGCTTTTTCTAGACATACCCCACAAGCTTCTCATGCTTGAACGTTGTTAAGAACAATCCAGTATATGAAAATCAATTGTATCTACCTAATTGACATGATTAACATAAGCAGTAAGAGGTCAGTACCACAGGTCTAACATGTAACATCTCAGTTTTAGCTCTTATTTCTGAGAACCTCTTCTTCTTGCTGCCACTGCAAACATCACAAAAAAAATTTTTAATGTTGGCCTCTATTGGAATCTCTGTTGTATGATCAGAAGGGATGCCACAGGGGGAAGGACTTTGAACTCCAAAGATATAAACCCAAGTCCCCAGAATTTCTTTTACCTGGTTGTTGCAGTTCCCAATAATCAGCGCATCTGCAAGAGCAAGCTGTCCCACTATCATTCCCTGCTCTAGCAATGGAGCTCCTGTTTCAGAAAGCCTGTTAGAGGTGATTACAATGGTGTTGTCATCATTTAATACCATGACAGGGTCTGCCTAAAAAAGCAACCAGAATAAATCAGGAATGCAAGAGAACATACAGATTTGCAATTCGAGAGAAATCCAAAGGTCTTGTCACTTACAGTAAACATTTCATAACTGAGGCAGATTTTAAAAATTAATTTGCTGTACATGTATCCATATATTTGTATGCAGTCTACGGAGTAATGCCTTACCACCTGGAAAAGCAACAGCTCTTAGAAAAGGAAATACCTCGTACAGCAAATAGAAGAACATACTTCCTCAAATGACATGAACTCTGCTTCAGCTTTTCTATACCTTAGGAACCAAATGTCATGAACAACCTTACAAATTCACACAGAATAAACTAAACATTCCTACAATACAGCATGATCCTGCACTCTTTTAGTTTGCCTTTCCTTCCTAGAAATAAATAGCAAAGGAGATGAGCAACTGATAATGCTGCCATCCATTCTGGCAATAATTTAATAAATACTTGTGTTACACAGGGACATCTTGTACAAAAGGAGGAAAGTAGAACAGTCTCATTTGAAAGAATAAACAAATTTATCTTCCTTTTAACAAACTTTAGAAGTTGGTCACATTACAACTGTGCTAAAAGCCTATCAGTTAGCTGCCACACTAACACCGTATTTTCCATTATATGCTGCTTATGCATTGCCAGTGTAATAGACCAGTATTCCAACAAAGTACACTCCGAAACACAATCAAAACATCAGCAAATTGGATTGGCTTCCACAGCAACAGAACTAAAGTTGGCAGTCCCTCCAAAATATTGACCATGGTAACTGCTGTGCTTTCAATTCCACCATTTTCTGAACACCAAGAGCAAAAACAGTAAGGTGACCAAGTGTATCTCAGCTTCATACTTCTATTTTCAACACGTTACATGACCAGGTCTAGCTCTTCAGATGCTTTAATGGCTGTCACTATTACACATTTCAGTGATTAAATTGGACAGGAATACTGTCCCTGCACGTGGCATACCTGGTTACCATGTAGAGGTGGTGATACAGGAACACTTCAGTGAACAAGTCAGAGAATTTTACTTCTAAACTAACAACTAAAAGGGATGATATTCTCACCTCAATAAACGCTGCCACCTCCTGAAGAACCAGGTTCCACTCCACCTGATCTTCAGTATTAAAACGATGAGTGTAGTCTTCAATTTCATCTGACAGCTCCTGATGTAAAAAGTTCAAAGACAGACAGAATCACTTCTTAAACTGAGAACTTAACAAGCAGCCAGTAATTTTACAATTTGGTTAGCTGTGCTGGCCTTTAAGAATAATTAAAAAAAAATTACTTGAGAACATATGCAGCACACTTATGACTAACATGCCAGCCAAAACGCGCTCTTTCAGGAGACAGAATGCCAATGTTACACTGAGTTTTGGCAACGCAAAATGCCTTTTAAGTAGGTCCAAATGCAAAGACTATCTCGAGTTAAGTATAACTATCACACATACAGCTACGTCACTAGTTATTACCATAAGCTATGGATACCAAGGACTCAAATTTCAGCTTTAAATACATTGAGAAAGTGAATAGTATGGCTTTTGTAGCTGCTACTAAGCTAAGCTAGCAGTTCAGGTAAGCTTAGACACAAAGACAGCAATACAACCTACACAAAACTGTCAATACCAGAAGCTGCTTGCAGCAAGGTTGTTAGAGGGGTTTGGGAAGCATATGCTGTCAGGAGAATCATGCTGTTCCTTTGTTGTAGTTAAAGGGTACCTCCCTCTCCAGGCTGCAGCTATTGCAATATTTTTACTTGGTGTTCAAGCAATGCTATCAAATCATTTGAGCCTAAAGTGTCATTACTGAATGTCTGATTCACAGAAGATGTTCACTATGTTGGATGTTAGATATACTGGAAAAGCAATGATCAACATTGGCCTGTACTCCATTTATTGTACCTAAAGACTTGTGTTTCTAGGCATTCAGTGCTTTACTCCCACAGCAGAGACATATGCAGATCCAGCCTCTCCAATTTCATAGTAATATCTACATCATTTAGCAAGGTTTAATTTTGATGGCTCTCTGGAAAGTGCAAAATGTATTCAGGATGTGTTCTAGACATGGGACAGAGCAATAGCAGTTTGGAAGGGAAGAGAAATAAGCTCAACATCAAGCTAGGAGACAATGGCTCTCCAAGCAACAGTCTGTCATGATGACTTGCTGGGGGAGATTCTGCCGATGTCTTAAATCCTCCACAGGAATAAAGATGTACTCAGTTATCAGATGATCCCCCCACTTTCAGATGAATAACATGCATCTTAAAAGTTTATTCCTAACTAACTACATACATTTGTAAAGTTTTTCTCCAGCCAAATGTTCACATCATACTGAATCTTCCCATGGCTCTAGCCATGTGTTTCCCTCCTTCTGTGGCATCCAACAACACAATCAATTAAATGAGGAAAAACAAAAAGAAAAGCTATGCTGCTGCAGCAGCTAACATCATAGATCTAATGAGTGGTATTTCAACTGAAATAGACTATATTATCGATTCCTTATTCGAAGAAAATCCCTGAATAACCAGAAACCTCCCAACCCTTAGCACCTTTATCCTCATTTTAACATACCTTTACAAGGTCCTTTACAACATCCATTTTGTTGAGCAAGAGACAAACCACTATAAACCTTGCATAGTAACGCAGCTTCTTAACCACTAATTCAGGCCTAAACACAACAACAAAAACATCACAGCCAAATTTGAGATTAAAATAGAACATAGGTAGGTAACAGGGATAAGGAAGAGGAGGAGTTTAAGACTAGAGCAAGGCTGAACACTCCACACATTAAGAGTTCTAACTGAATTCATGTGGAGATCAATAGCTACCTGGCTGCTTAGAGGTTTATTTAAAATTGAGTACAGGGACATAAATATACATCAAAAAAGCCACAGCCTTCCCCACAATCTCCTTACATGAACACAGGCATGACAGTCACATACAACAGCTGGCTCTTCAAACCTTTTGACAGTTCATGGGCACTATCTGACCCCCTGCATCACAGCTGTCTCAGAGTTCACCCACCTGGGACAACTTAGAGATGTGCAAGTCAGCATAGCCCATAATTACTCATCCGTTTCTAATACCTTCTGACAGCATCTAGAAGCATGCTTGGTCAATCCTACCTTGTCTGAAACCGCTCAAGCACTCAGACTGAAATGGAGAGATTTTTAACAGAGAAGATAATAGGATCAACAGATATCAGAACAGAGCAGGGAAACTTTCATACTTTTGTGGCACACAGGTGCATTTAGACATCAGCGAGACTAGAGAAGTGCAATTAGTTACATCCAGAGATCCTTGAATGCATGGCAGAAAACTACCTAACTAACCTTTTGCATTTATCTTGATGATGACTTCAGATCAATTCTTCTTTAACTTTACTTTGATGAGGGAACCTGGGTTTAGTGGCTAGAATGTAAGATCAGGATCAAGAATGGGGTTCTCTGGCTATTCTTATTTGTGTCTGCACATTGGCTGCACTGACACAACACAGCCCTGCTTTGAGTGTACCCTTCTCAGTACAGCGTCTTAAGAGGAAGACGTTATGCATCCTGAAGCTCTTGGACCTTGTGCCAATCAGTTTTAGAGGGCTGTTATACTGCAGTACTAACTGATGTTCCCCTGGAAAACCGGATTAGAATCAAACAGGTTCCTCTGTTTCAGCCCAATTGACTTATCTTCCCGCCACAGCATACTAGGTCCCAGCACTGATACTGCTCAAAATGACAAAACTTTAGGGCTAATAGCTTTCTAGCCAGGACCAGATAATAGAATATTCCTGCAGTCATATAGCAAAGTTCTTTCTTATACTGAGGTTTTTAATCATGGCAGGAAGATTAAAAGAAACTTCCTTCAACAGCACTGGTTTTATCCCAGTTATGCTCCTACAATTTGTAGTTATTTTCTGCTGTTATACACCGTTCTCATCTTGAAAGAAACCAGAGCGTTCATTCAGACATACCTGTCTTCTTTGTTGACTTGGGAGTAGTATGACCTCTGCCTAATTGCTGAATAGAAGGAGAAAGCTTCATTGAGATAACTGGTTTCTGAAGTGCGCAAGCTGCAGAGGAAGAATCAGATTAGCTCACTGCTTCAGATGGAAATCCATGCCAAACCCTCCCTTCCTGCCCGCTCAACCATCTTGTGCATCAGTGGCAAAACTCCCTCCTCAAGTAACATGATACGAAAGCCAGACTCTATTTCTCTGTGCCTGCTGGGCAGACAGATTTCAGAGCCTGGGTTCCATTTCAGGTAACAATGAAATCTGTCCATCTTGTACACATATGTACTGGTGACAGGTTAGTTCAAAAGCTTAAAGGAACATTAAGCTCCCAAACTTGCAAATCACACTTTTGCACAACAATCAAATGCAGCACGCATGGAAGACTTAGAGACACTCCTGAGGTAGGAGCTAAGTCCTTAGGCAGTATCAGTGTGACTAGCAATATGGTACCCAGCTCACAGATGCCTTTCTCTGCAGCACCCCATGCAGTCCCAAGGACCTTCTCATTCACAAACAGGCATCATGACTCAACTAATAACATTCATTTCTCCTGACTGAGTATCCAGATGTTTGGAATGGAGCTGCCACTAACACTGCATTCCGCTACTGAATCCTTTTCTGTGCTTACTTACTAATAATGGTAATAGAGCTGCCCAATCTTGGAAGCAATTTCCCCAATTTGCCACCGCTTCAACCCATACCGATTGTCCAATACTTGTCTATTTCGCAAGAGAGAAAAGAAAGATTAAAAGGCATTCCAGAATTTCTCAGAACTTCACACCAGACAAGACAAAGAGCCATCGTAGGGCCAAACTCGGCTTTCATTACTGGTGTGGCATTCCCAGTAGCAGTCCCTTAGAGCCAACAGCATTGCATACACACACCAGAACAAAAAGAACATTTATCTTGCATAGAACTTGTGAGAGCTAGACATAAGTATGTTGCACAAAATATACACAACAAAAGGTCACAACTTCCCAGGAGAACACTCAGACTACACAGCCAATGTAAGGTGTGAAAGATCAGAGCCCACACTGCAGCAAGATGCTTCACACCATTCCAGATGGGCTCTGCACTGCAGAAGCCATCATCCCAACTTCTCCTTGGTAATGTATTACAGCAACATGCATTTAAGTAGAGCAAAAGGTTTTGTTAAAAAAGTCACAATGAAAACGCTGCAACATTTTAACTCATGAGACTGTGAGCACTACAGGAAGTGACTATTCCCTCCCTTCATGCCTGAATAACACAGTGAAATCTCAATCTTAACTGGGGCCCCTAGGCATACCGGAGAGTAAAGTTGCACTTAAATCCACAGAACACGTCTGTCTACAACATCCCCTTACCGATGTTGCTGTTGAAACTTCCAGAGTTTGGTGTAAACGTCAAATGTTCGCCCAAAATAGGATTGCCACTGCTTTTGCCCATACTGAGGTAAATCCCTGCAACAGACAAGTAACAAATGCAGAGTTAGGGAGTAGATTCCTGTCAGCCCAGAGTGACAGCAGCGTATTTGTGTCAGTGTCAGAATAGCTTTGTTCAGAAATGACTTGAAATGCTTTATAACTCTGCCTGCACCCAGAACCGTGATTTCTGTAGTTTCTCAAAACCTGTTGTTACCGGAATCTGCAAGGAAATCCTTTTCAGCTTGTAGGAAGTACTTATATCAAGATCTGACCATAGTATCCCTAAAAACATGCCACAAGCCAGACAGCATATTCATTTAACATGTATATAAGAAAAGACTGCATATGCATATATATGAGAAAGAAGCACATATTGGAGGAAGAAATTCTTCGGTGCTGTCTCCTAATTATTGCTTCCTACTTTCAGACGAATTCTCTAGATGCTTTTCAAATGCAAAAGGATTGACATTACCCGTGTTAATAAAGGTCTCTCATATTTTTGCAAATCTTCCAAGTGATTGCCTGCATTTAATCACTGTTTGGGGACACAGAGAGCCAATGTCTCAAACTGCCTAAGTTCTGCAGGTTACATGCAAAAAAGAATGACACTATAACATCAAACTGAAGGTGTGCAGCTTAACCATAAGTTTTTGAAGTAAAGCTTCTCCTACTGAGACAATAACTCAGTCTTCAAATGCAACAACTGTAATTCAATCACTTACTCAAATAACAGCAGAATTACTCTAGTTATTCTAGTGTCTATTGTCAGTCAATAACCACAATCCTTAATATCCCACCCAAGAGTGCTTGCCCAGCTACAAGTCAGACTGACAGTCCCCCTGAACAGCAGACCCCTTATGAAAGGCTCACTCTCCCTCTGCAAGAGAGTCAACAAGATGGAGTTCCGTCCAACAGCTTCCACCACTTATAGGTTAGTTTTTAGGTTAGATATGAAATGTATGCTATATTTACAGTGTATTTATATGGTATTTATTATGGACATATGACACACTGTACAGATGAGCCTGTTCTCTCCAGATGTGCCTGAGATTCTGGAATGGCTACTCCAACACACAGAATAGCAGCAGATGGAAGCAATGCCCTCCATGAGCGACTTAACATGAGTCAAGTGATTGGATATGTGCAAAAACATTGGTATTTATGGACAAATACAGTCTAAAGGGCAAAAAGGTATTCATGCTCTCTAATCCTTTTATCCAGGTTCCTCAATATTAATAGGTTCTCAACTGCATCAGAAGAACAGGCCTACAAATAATGACTCCAAATAGGAAATGACCATGCTCCTACATGCCTTTTTCAACAGGTAATAGAAAACATGTTACTGCCTTGCTAGAAGAGAAGTAATTTTATGGTTATTTGCACAGAAAGCTAAATTGGACCCTTAAAATATCATAGTAAAAAAAAACCCTACCCAAGAGCAAGCAGAATGATCTAATGGAAATGAGTTCATTTAGACTGATAATATTTCTTGCTACTCATTAAGGCAACAATATTTTTTAAATGCATGAGGCTATTCACTGTGTTTCAGAAACAGACCCTATAACATCATACATATATTAGCTGTCCAAATGTCACCAGGTCAAGCAGGCATATGGATGCTCACAGCTAACATTCACTGGGTCAGGTTACATCCTCACCACATTTGTCACCCTCTAACTCATAGTTAGTGGTATGTCAGGACCTGAGGCCTTCTGGTTTTTTCTTATCAGTCTCCAGTGCTGTAAGGCAAGTTAGTCAATCCGGTTCAGTTCTGCTTTCATACCTCCACACTGTGATATATTTCCCTCCACCTCCACCCCATGATATATTTCCCTTTACCCCACAAATATGATGTGGTCCTAAGGATTTTAGCTTTAAAGGTTTGTGCTTTAAATCCTAAGAGAAGGCAGTCTCCTGGGAGTTACCTGAATCTTGGAACAACTGCAACAAAGACCAAAAACCCTCAGTCTCACTGAGCGCATGTTGCTTACAAATCTATACTGAAGCTGATTCAAAGGAGGTATACAACTCTATGTGGAAGTGGAACAGCTTTTTCAAGATCGTATAATCTTTCATTTGAGTCAAGAAAGATTTCTTCAGGGAATGCTCTCTCAAATCACTGTGCTGGTTAATGTACCATCCAACACCTTACTCTTCAGCAGACAGACACAGAAAAACAGCATATTCCACTTCCAAGGCTGGGAGGTCGAGACTGAGGGAAACACCACCCTTTAGAAACCATGCCATGTCCTCTAGAGGAGTAAGACAAGCAAAGCAGTACACTACAATTTCCAGAGCAGCGTACTGGCGCATTTCTGCTAACTGTAATTGCTTTAACAGCACCCTAGGTAGAAAAGGAAATTAATATTCCTTTGCTCATCAGCCAACTGTACTTCCCACACAGCTTGGAGGGACCTAGCTTAGTTACAACATGTAAAATGAATCCATTATCAGCTATGACTCTTAACAGCCTGGAAAACCATTCCAGTATTTGCTGCTGCTTATGAAAATGCCAAGGAATCTGGGCAGGATTTAAAATTTTTTTTTTAATTAAAAAAAAAAAAAAATCCCCTCAAACTTGCAATTGGCTGCTCAACCTCTCGGAATGTACTTTGGTATAGTGAGGGTAAACAGGAGTATAAACGTGTGCTTCAGGGCACCAACATCTTCATCCAAATATAGTTTAATACAAACACATGCAGATTTAAAGCATTTACTGCCACGAATGATTCACCACTTTCTATTGTTGTAAGAGATGTAAACATTTTAGCTAAACAAAAGTAGTTAAGAAAGTGCCCAAATACATGTCTAAGATATATTGAAGGCTTTGATATAGCAAGAGGTAGTGTTAAATTTGATTAGCACATCCACAAGTTTCAATGTTAAAAAAAATTAAATTTAAAAGTGAATACAAATACAAAACAACACTAAAATCGATCATTTAAAAAAATAAGAAGAAACAAAGTTCCCTGGCACTAACTTAAAGAATGACTGAATTAGCAAGTTGACTCAAAGAACCCTACCAGTAGTAGATTGGACTTCTAGGCCAAGTTGCTTAGGACATTTAGGCAAAAAAGAAGACATAAGAAAACAAGAAAACACACCCTTCTCTCAAATACCAAGAAGAAGGTACCTGCACAAATTAAAAAATAAGCAGGTAACTATTTGCTGATCTTGCTTATGCATATATCCCTTATTAGTAAGCTAATACACTCTTTATACCTCACCTGTCATCTTCCCTTGCGCACCCATCACTCCCTCGATTCTGTACCTTCCTCTGTATGAGCCCAAGCATTCTTAGAAAACCTAGTTCAACTCACTGTGCTGCGTTAGTTTTGAATATATGAAAATTAGTGGCATTTTAGAAAGCCTCTGTTAGCGCAGTGGACACGTGTTTGGCCGCTGTTGTCCACAGTCACTGCTGGGTGTCCACATGCATATTCCTCAAGCAGCACGCTTGCCTAATTGCAGCTGGCATAGCTGCACAATACCACGCGATTCCTCGGCTCCCCAGGGAACAGGAAAGATCTCCATGGAAACAGACAGTAGCACTTGTTCTTTTGATAGTATTCTGACATGGCCGTAATAAAACTTCATTTATGACAATACATTACAGTGGTTTCAACACAGATTTTTGCAGACAAGAGCTGCCATTGCTGCCATCCATTTACTGTTTTGTGTTCTGAACATCATGCATGTTGCTCCCATGTATCAAGAAATTTTGCTGTGAGAGAACAGATGCATAAGCAAAAGAGGACATTTACTGCAGTGGTGGGTTCCCCCCACCACCACCAGACCAGATGATTATTTGGTGAGAAATAGCCCAAAAGAACACTAAAGACTCAGTTGACTGCAAAGTGGATTATTAATACAGCTCCTCCCACTGAAGGGGACAAGGAATCTATGATCCAGAAGCAATTAGACACCCAACTTGAGAGCAAAAGACCTACATTACAGCAAGACATTTTGCTGCTTCCAGATCTATAGAAGGATACTAGAGCAATATATAGAGAAAAAGGCAACAGCCTCAATTTCCTCCGGGGTGTGCCTGGCTGAGGACGCTGGGTACAGAACAGGCAGCGGTAGGGCTACTCACTCGTGCTGTTACTGATGACAACCAGCTTTCCAGGAGGGAGGAAGTGGCAGCAAGAAAGAATCCAGAGGCAGAGGAGGGAATGGAGATGCTTTGATTTAGGACAGTTCTATCCAGACAAGGAAGACAGTTACACACTTCACTACAATAGCCTCCAACAAGTGGAAACTGTTTCCAATTTCTTAGCTTTTAAAACATTCCAAACTGGACATGAAGACACAAACTCAGATGTTCTAAAAGCATGGGTTTCTCACAGTGGGCACAAAAGACTTGTTCCCTTGCCACACTACAGTGGCTTGTGGATAAATTCCACAGACAGTCCAGAATTTTATCCAATTCTTGCTGTATAGGCTCAGCAAAGACCAGCACTACTTATGTGCTCATAATTAATTTTCTGTCAGTAGTTCACTTCAGCCATACTGTTGGCAGAAGCCAGATAATACTGGCTGAAAACCAATTAAAGGTGCTGAGGTTTGTTTGGCTGGCACCACATGGAAGTTGTCATGCAGGGACAACTTCCAGAGATGTAAAGACATTGAGAAAGTCCTAGAGACCCAGCAGTGTTCAAAAAGGAAGGTTACAACAACTGTAAGTTTAACATCCAGAGCTTTAAATACATTCACAGTTTTGACAGGTGATAAAAAAGACAATTTCTTTTTATGTTCACAGGCTTGTAGTAATTACAGGCTCCTATTCCCAGAACCCAAGCAGCAGTAGGATAACGGCACTGTGGCATAGCATGCCCATCACTTCTAATAACCCACAAAGACAGTAAGCACACCAGTAGCACTCACAGTAACTTGCCTCACTGATGCGATCGGTGTGAAAAGCCAGTCCCCTCCCAGTACCAGACAGGGTACATCCTGCAGCATTACCTGAAGCTAACAGGGTCCTGTGGTTTCTGAAGCAGCAGTAGCACAGAACAAAACTAAGGGGTTCAACTTGCATTTTACCAGAAGTCTACAAAATAAATGGTTAAGCGCTATCAACTCTTTCCGTGAAAGGACAGCAGTTGTGATTCTTGCAGCCTGCACAGGGAGTAACAAGACCTCATAATCCGGGAAAGTACGATATATGTGGAAAGCCTTTTCATTTCTTAAAGTTTCAAGCTTCTCTGTGATACTGAACACATTTAAGCACTTTTCAACATTAAAAAGAAAATAGTAACTGGTGACAGTATACCATGAAAAACTGTTTTCTAACAGGCTCCCCTCTTCCCAGCATTTTTCCAAGAAAAAAGAGCAAGTGGGAGCATGGAAAGGAGAGAAGAAAGGAATGGGAACATACTTCATTAACAGTTTTTGCTAACTTACAGCTCAGACTGTGCAAAAATGGAGAACAGAAACTAGAAAGACAACCTCCCCTGTAAATTATTCTAGCAGGCGTGGCCACAAAAAGATGGTATGACTGGTAGTGTGAGCAAGTAGACTTTGGAGCAGCAACCTTGGCAGATCATCATATGTTTTCCTCAAATGCTGTATTTGGCATCTGTATTGGGAAGAGAGGAAGGAAATGCTACTGAAACAAAGACGTGGCAGGCTGAGCCCTTGCATTTTTGGCAGCAGCAGCAGCTAAGCAGCTGCCAACACAGCTATAGGCTCAATTCTCTGTAGCTGAAGTGCCCAGAGGAGGTTTCAGGAAGGAAATCATTGCTCTCCTCTCCCTCCCCCATCACTTCTTTTCCATGAAATATGGTAGGGGCAAGAGAATGGCATAAAATACAGCAGCAAAGGCCATCATCATCTTCAAAACAGGTGGCAGGCATAGCATTTATTATGCTAGTGGGAAAAGCAAGCAACTGGACTAAGAATTAGGATGCTTGCCAAGTCATTTCCAGGTGAACTACCCAGAAGAGAACAAGCACTAACAGAGAAGATACCTGAAAATTATAATGCTGCTTTAGCCAGTCAATATGCCCCCAGGATTCACAGGCCTTATAGGTGAAATGGTGGTCAAGTTCAGTGCAAGAAGCAACTATGTTAATTGTGTCAAGTTACAGTAAGGACAGATGCAGGCTCCCATTCCTGTATGTTCTTATTTTCACACAGCAGAGCCAGCTGCTGAAGCCTGTCTCTCTATTTTTATTGCCTAAATTTAATCCAAAGGTAGTTTCTTTTCATCTAGCTGGATAAGGTGGTTTCTTTTTGGCAAAGTACCATGGTTGCACATAGAAACTACATCTCTCATCTGGAAATCTGATACGAGTACTAACTCCCTCCATTCCCAAAAGAAAAGACAGAATGGCTGTAGGTGCTCTGCTATCTCTGTGATCCGAACTTGAGCATTACACTTCCAGACATGAACTGTATTAATCTGTACTCTTCAGAGACTCAGGCCAAAACTTCAAGGAAGCTAGATCAGAAAGCCAATGTAATGGAATACATTGTACTGGAAACCTTAGCCTCAAGATCTCAGTCCTTTTGCTTTAGACTCTGTTTCATGAGGTGTCAAATGCAATCACCAAGATCTCCTTGTCTCTACTGCCCATTTGCCATTCAGATTTTGGAGCACAAACTGTTTGTTTTGGATTTAGTAATCAACTTCTAAAGCACATGAAAGGATTATCAAGGGGGGGGGGGGCAAGGAATTAAAAACATCTTTGCTAACCATCTGTGTTTGAGTAACAGCAAGCTATATGGGCCCAAACATACAGTATTACTCAGAGACCCAGTAAGAGGCTGAACTGCCAACAAGATAGGAGCTAAAAACCATGTTGCTTAAGAGACTCTACAGCAAAGCTTAGAAATAAAACAGGTCTTGAATACATCTTTAACTCAGCATATATTGACATAAACAAGATGCCTATATCACTGTCCAAATGTGAACTATTTTCCTTTAATTCCCCTTACTCTTATTCCCGTTCTTATTGGTGCCAACAGTTAGACTTTCTAGATAGTTATTGCAGAAGCTTTGTAGATAAATGCGAATTTTACCCTTCTCCACAGTTCACATTAAGCATTTGTTTCACCAGACACATACAAGCTATGGTTTGGATGGTTCTTTTTTGGGGAAGAAATTTTTCCTAAATTTTTCCTAAAAATTCCCCCAAAAATATTCCCTTCCCCCCTTTCCTCCCACCTAGGCCAATCCTTCTCATCCCTTTTTTTTTTTTTTTTTTGGTACAGAGACTGGTGGGTTTTGGACTTGCATGCTGGTGACTGTATATAGCCACACCTAGTCCTTAATTGCGTACTGAAATGTTGTGTATGAAGTACAAATTCTATCAATTTAACGGAGTTCCCAACTTCTAGTTTACTGTTAACTGACATGACAAAGACATTCAGCTCACCTTTCTCACATTTCCTTCCCTGCTGTCTCAGAAGAAATGCATGAAACTCTACTCCTACAGACATTCTTACATACATGGTCCAAAACGACCCTTATATAGGTGCACGTTGTTCTCTCCTAAACAAACTTACTGAGTTTGAGTTCAAAATGTTCATTGTACAACTGACTTCAGCATCACACATACTAAAGTGTACGTTCCAATGCTTTTCTGAAGGAATACTGTCACAATGCACTAACCTTAAGCCATTGAATAGCTGTTTAGATTTATCCAATAAGTAGCAAAAGTCTGTCACTGTTTTCCTCTCTGCTTGAGGAATATCATCTTCAGCTGCTCCTGATGACATGATTTCTTTTAGGGCAAACTCAGTCCTATGAAGAAGAAAATAGCCATATTACTCAAAAATTGAGGCTACTATGAACTCGTCCAGACTACATGCATGTGCAGTTCCATGGGGATGGTAACAAAGAGCATGCAACTCTCCCACAGGTTACTCTTCTCAAGAGTCATTAAAAATAACAGCTGAGAATCAAAGCATGGGAATAATTATTGCACAATTCACTAGTTAACAGAGCAAATTAAAAATAAGATTGGTACAAGAGTCACAAAATAAAATAACTCTGAGGACTGTATTCACAAACACAAAACTGCCAACAAAATGACTGTAACACAAACAGTACTTGGGTTTCATACCTGGACAAAGAAATCCTCTCTAAATTTGCCTTTCTGCAGAGGTGTTTACTCTGCAGCCTTATTTAGAGAGACTAGCCTCAGTTCTGTTTACATTTCATTTTCTTCCGTAACTGTTGAAAATTGTAGCTCACTAGTTGCTATTGCTAAAACATAGCAATTTTAGACAGAATGCTAAAAAATACTCTGCTTCCTCTTTACTTCCTCATGACCATTTAATTCCATGGCTTGCACTGCCCACAATTATACCTGCAGATCTATTTTTACTGTTCATATGAGCAAATGTGACATTGTACAGTAATCACCTGAACAAAAAAAAAAGATACAACATCGATAATCCTAGTATTGACTAAGTAAGGGAATATGAAAGCCTATACAGGCAGAGTGGCGTTTAAATTCTTGCTTGAAACATACATAGATATAAAATTGTCCTTTAGATAATCCAAAGGTAAGCCACAGATTTCTCGGCAGTAGCAAGAAAACAAGCTCCTCTGAAAATGGCTGCCAGGTCTTCAGCTCTTCTGTGCTCTAAGAATTTTAGTGCAAGATAAACACACCTCTAACTGGGCCAATGCAGAGCTTTTACTTTCAGCAACTTCTCTACCGGTTCTGGCAAGCACTTCTATTAAGCAACAAGTTTCCGTTTGTGCAGAAGCTCTGTTTGGATGCAATTTGTATGAATAATTACCTGCAAGTCCCAATTCAAGCCAGGAAATGGCAAAGCTAACTCCTTACAGTCACTGCAAAGTACCCTCATCAATCATCATGAAAAGCCTTCACAATAACCAAACAGACTTTAGAAAAACTTCCCTGAACAAACATTTCATGCAGAACAAACAAAACGAAGAAGAAATGGGCAGTTCCCCCCAGCTTTTGTGGATAAGTTAGTGAGCATCTCCTGCCGACCAAGCAGTTTCATGATTTCCCAGTTCAGACAAGATGCAGCACACATGCACTTGTCTTCTACACATCCACCTGACAGTGCACTAGAGCTCTAGTGCAAGGACATGGGGTGCACTGCACAAACCGCTTGTTGAAGAGCTCCAGAAAAAGGCAGGAAGCATCTACTTGTTGTCAGGTAACTGCAACATGGGTGCTAGACAATATAAGAGAGTCAGAACATACCAAACAGATGTCAAGAGCTGTTGGTATGAGCCTAGCAAAGCAGGACAGGAATATTGTGAAGCACCAGCCTGTGTTTGAAATCTCTAAACACTTGCGTTCACACAGCATGAAACAAACAACACTGGGTACTTAAAGCACCAACATATGAAATCAAAGTGAATGGTGAGAGCTAAAACACAGATGTCAGAAGCAGACAGGAGGTGATTAAGGAATTTCAAGAAGAGGGACAATACCCCAGGTCCTGTGTGCTCCGCAGCAAGGGTGACCTAAATCCTGTGGCGAGGCCCTTGGATTCTGCAGCGCTCCACACTGGTAGACCAGGCACTCTAGAGCAGCTTCAGATACATTTTCAAAAATTGAGGAGCTTGCTTACAGTCTGTATATCATTCCTTTAACTTAATAGTAAAGCAAATTCTATTTTACAGTACCCGTAAGTTATACTATCCAACTACCCCAACCACTGCTAAAATTGGCCAAATTAATCTGTGTTCGCCCTGACGTGGGCAAGTAAAACCAACTGCAGTTCCCACATTGAGGGAGTCCGCTAGACCCACTGTGCAGAGGACTCTTCATGCAATCAATAAAAGATATGCTAGAACATTCACTGCCTGCCAACCTGAAAGGTATCAGAAGGCAGGAAAAACACTTGTTGCAGAGAAAGGACAAAAAAACCCCTCTTTCAGGTTGTAGACAATTAAGGTGTATTTTGAAAGCCTACTGCAAGTCCAGCCACTTCCTAAATACTTAGCCCAATACTAGTTTATGGAGAGTTAGAAGAACTGAAGGGAAAAAAGAAAAAATGAAGGGGGGGGGAAAAAAAAAAGGAGAGAGAGATTACCAAACTGAAAACAAAACATTGGAGAATATTCTGTATGGTCAGCCTCCTGATACGGCTATCAGCGTGTGGCTTTGGACCTATTGCTGAAGCAGAGGGCAAAAGCACCTTTTCTGCTCATGGAAAGAAACTGCCAAAAGGAGAGGGAAGAACCTGTCTTCTTATCAGAGACTGCTGGTGAAGGAACCTAGGAAACAAACCACATTTAAGCACACTCTTACATTGCACAGAGACCTGAAAAATTAGCATATCCTGGAGACGCTCCACTAGGACATTGTTTTTCCTTCATTCACAGGTTCAGAAATGAAAAAAATGTATGTTGCAATCAAGCCACACCGACAGTATTACAGCAACCAATAGCCTGAGTTTAGGCTAAAATGTAGTACTATATAGCTGGGGTGAGGAGTAAGAGGCAGAGACATGAAGGAGCATACAAAAGGAGCATACTTACTAGAATAGTCAGGGATTTACTTTTTGAAATAGAGGAAATGAAGTTAATTCTCAGTCACTCAAACTTATCTCTTGAAAAGAATCTTGACTGGTAAAACAGACTGTTACACACAGAAGATGTGAAACTGTAATACCTGCAAAATTAACATCTTCACTCTACAACTGAGTAAACTGAAATCTTAAAAACCACATACACCAACATGTGTATACATACATCAAGACTTTAGCTTGTATTGCTTTAGAGATCAAAATATCAATAAATGCCTGATCAAGTTCTACTTTAAAGTGAAGCTGCCACAAGCACAAACAGCAGAGACCTAAAAAAAAACCAAAACCCAACCAAAACCAACCCCCCCCAAACCCACATGAAGCACCAGAAACACAAATATCCCTACCATTCAGCATTCCAAATATGCCTTCTACCTGGTTCTAATCGGGATTGCCATGTGTATTTCATATGATATAAAAGAAAGACTTGCATGTTAAGATGTGGAATAAAACACTCAATGCATACTTTCATCAGCATGCTTTGAATTACACATTGAATGCTTATTCTAATGGGGCTTTGAACAGAACTCTCTACAAGAAACTCGAAAAACTCTGCCCTGTATCATGGTCTGTAAAAATTGTATCTGCCAGCTTTTCAAACATTTTGATGGAATTCTTCTCACTTAAGGTTAAGCACCTAAACAGTAAGACAGACACAAAAATTAATCTCATTTTCTAATGACACTTTTGGAGTGAGGGAGGTGACCAGAACTTCATCCAAGACATCAGGATGAATGGAGAAGACTCTGGGTACTTATGAAAAGCTATTCCATTAGTACATAATAAATTAAACACAGAAGCCTCAATGTGTCCTCTTTGTTGCTGTGTTATTTTATAATGAAACAGCTAAATCATGTTTAAAAGTAGGATGAAATGAAACCTTAGTTATCCACACAATTATGAAACTCTCTCTGTTCTTAATGACCTGAAGATGCAAGTACAATTGCCTGCGGGATAGCATAGACTCAACAGACATAACACCTCTGGGATGACAGAAGGAGCATGCTCCAAATAATCAACTTTGGACACTGACAATGGATGAGATAGAGTTTCGCTTTCTTGCAGGATAATTAATGGCATGTTCTGGTTTTGCCACATATTGCACTCAGGAAATGGAAGTGCTTCTAAACTATCTATTGTACTTATACATGTATATACAGTATAGTGGTAGGTCCTATTGAAAATCCTGAAAGGTTACACTTTAAAAGTAAACATGAGTCCTGCTCAGAATGGACTGGTTTCTTACCCACTACATGTCACATTTATCTTCATGATGATTATAAAATAACACCATACAGAAAATACATGATAAAAATATTCAGACTGAATCACATCATGGGCAAACAGTCTTCCTTCTAGGAAAAAATAATTAGGAAAAGAAACAAAGGGTTCAACCAAAAAAGAAAGAAAAGCAGTGAAGAATTAAGCAGAGTAGTAATAAGCATGACCATTTCCCTGTAAGGTATCTTTAGAAAAGCTGCTAGAAGGTAATTCTTCTGCAGATCTCAAATTCAAAGCAGCATTTTGGTTACAGACACGAGACAGGCGCTGCTGCAATTTAAACCCTGGTTTCACTCAGCCACAGCACATGCCTGAATATGAAGGAAAGATGGGAAGGGAAGATGGAAAGAAAAAGGACAACAGGAGCTGTTAAATGAAAGGTGAAGCTGGCTTTTCCAGCTAACAGAGAAGGAAAATAAAATTAGTTATCGCATGCACTGGTTTTGGCTTATCATGCTCCAGAGGGTTTGGTGTTTGGTGCTGTACAAAGAAAGAACTACTATCACGAGCAGCTCAGGAAAGGAGGAGGTCTTCCCTGTGCTAAAGGCTGTGTTGTAATGCAGCAGCATTACAGATGGGAGAAAGAATTATTATTAGAAACAGCAAGTGGGCACAGCAAAGGGAGGAATATAGCTACTGGTATCGCCCTTTCCTCAGGGACTGCTGAGCTCCAAATGAAAAATATAAACAAAATGCAATCAGTAGTACATCCACAATGCGGACCTCTCCTTCTCTTTGATTATAGAGGTAACCGCACAGATTTGTGTGCCTCTTCTACAAACAGACAGTTCTCCCAGTTTAGACAGCCCAGCTACACCAGAAATACTGCCTACTTTTTTTTTTTCTTGTGTTTGACACTTTTTGCCTTCTTTCTTGCAAAAGGAATTGTTGGGCTGTTTTGCATGACTTTTTTTTTTCTGTTTTCTTAAGGAGTACAT